TCCGGTATTTTAACAAGCATGTTCGAGTGAAAATCTTCGCCCCCGTGGATTTTTTCTGAATAAAGCCGACCTAGCTGTTCGCAGACAGACGATCAACAAATTAGATAAAACTTGGAGTGGACCATACATCATTAGCCATCGAGTATCTCATGGAGCTTACAAATTAAGAACCTGCGCTAGAAGAGAAGTCCCACGGATGTAGAGTGGAGACAATCTAAAGAGATATTTTCCTTAGAAAAATCCGTGTACAAACCTCTTATTTTTTGAAAGAGCGTGGTTTATAATATTTGTATATTTACATTTTTTATGAATTTAGAGAGATTTAAGTTGGCTAATTCAGTGTAAGCTTAAGTTTGAATGACACTCGGTGAACTCTAGAGACTTCAACACTTGAGGAACTCGGGTGACCGAGGGATGGATTAAACGCTCGATGTCATCGTGGGACTTCCTATTTGTCAGACAGACTCTTCTACAGAACGAGTAAAAGACTCTTCTAAGGAACGAGCGAAAAAACTCTTCTATGGGACGAGTGAAAGACTTCCCACGGGACGAGCGAAAACTTTCCTTACGGATAAGTAAACGATCGGTGAATTGCATACGTGTCACAAACATAAAAAATAAGAAACATTACAATGTAAAAAAAAAAAAACAATCGAGAATTTTAAGTCGGTCGGAAAGATTTTTTTCATTTCATGGACAAAAACATTCAAAAAAGTTTATTTTACTAAACTTTCTTTAAAAAAAAAGGACCGGACTAATAAAGTTAAAAGAAGGAGAGTAAAAAAGCAAACGTCTATATGAGCACAAGAGACGAGGCAATTGACAACCGTCTTCTTTTTTGGATGTTTCTTCTTCTTCTTCAGCATCTTGCGCAGGTCTGTTTTCGCTTGCAACGGTAGGAACTGAAAGAGCAGTGAATTCCTTTAGATCGACATATTTTGGGTCTACAAGCCCATGTTTAATTAACTTATTGGTCGAAAAGATATTCCTATGTGGAATTTCCAAGAAATTCCATCGAGTGTTCCTGTTGAGTGATCGATTTTACCAAAGTCGCTTTTAACTCGTCATTTTCTTTCATCAAAGATGCCAACTTTTCGTTGAAGTCCAGCTCGTCAATTTTTTCCCTTCGAGAGAAAGTTTGAGCTGACCCTCGACGATCTTCTTGTTTTGTTTCTCCTCTTCAGCTGGCTTTGTAAGGTTGCCACCTTATCCTCAGCCTTCACTAATGGTTGCTCGGATTCAGTAAAATCCAAAGATTTGAGGTGAGTTGCTTCCTTCACCATCAAATGATATCGGTCGAATGCTGTTGAAGCTCCTCGCTGTCAAGCATCTTCAAAGCTTCTTCGAACTTATTCGACCACATGACCTCTCAAAACAACTCTAGAATGTTATCGACTTTGGGAGAATCAGGCTGAGTCGGCCATGAAAAAAATAATGGCCGATGTTGAATGTCTTTTCGGCCCCGCCACACGCCAGGTGCCACTCAAAAGCCATTCCTTTTTATTTTAAGAAGGGGGAGTCAAAGCATCCGAAACTTCTATTGGAGCCTTTCATATCTTCTTTACACCAGAGGGTTGCGATTCTTCATCGTGAGGTGGCAGAGGATCCGATGGGTATCGATTGGTGACGAAGTGTTTGTTATTTCTGCTTCATCCTCGGAAGCCTCGCCTTCAACGACATCCGACCTAAAGCATGGATGGTGATTGGGTTGTCTCACATGCATCTAGTAGAAAAATTTTAGGTGTACGAGCAATAGTGGTGGTCTCCCTGGTTAACACTATTTGTATCACGACAGTTGTTTCAGATTTAGAAAAAAATGAAATCCCCACCCGTGGTATCCGCACTGGGGCAAAATCTTCTCGGGTTTTCCTTGGATTTGCCCTCTTTTTGAAAAGTTAGCTTCCCCCTCAGTTTCCTCTTGGCAGCCTCTCTTTAGCTTCCTTTACTCGAATAAGCTCCTCGACATCTGAGGCCCTCCATTACTCTTTTGTCTTATGGCCAAATTTATTTGGTCAGATGACCTAGTCGACAACTTTTCATTTGGTATATTGGGGTATCGGCAGTTGTTGCCTCTCAATTTTCTCCATTCGCAACAAGATGCTTTGGAAGTGTCTTGATTCTACTCACCGACATATCCTGAGGAGTGACGCTGATTCCCCAACTACTGGAGCAAGAACCAACTAGGTACTGCTTTTTCCAATCCCTTATATTATTCTCCAACCCCACTAGTCAGTGTCTATGACTGGTAGAAAATTTGGCGAGGCCGTGCTTATCAATCATGAATTAGAAGTAGTAATCAAATAGATCGGTCGACCATGGTATGTCAATGTGGTGACAGAAAACGACGAATGTTATGTTCACAATGATAGAATTCAACATAACTTGTGTAGGAATCACTTCGTACCCAATTGAAGATATCTTCTTATTTGGTACAGCGGGAGCCTTTTACCGCATCAGAACTAATCCCAATAGAGTACCAAATCATCTCCAAATTTGTCCTTCACTCAATCAGAACTCCAAATGGTTCAAAGCTTTATTTAATCATCAAATACATACTCCACCAACTTATGCACAACGTCCTCTGTTAAAACAAAAGAATCAATTGCTGAATAAGTGCTGAAAAGCTGAATAGAATATTTACGAGCCATAAAGGGGACAAGAAAGTGAAGAGGGATTAGAGGTGTTTGGAAAGGTCTCAAGCATTTACGAGCCATAAAGGGGACAAGAAAGTGAAGAGTTAGAGGTGTTTGGAAAGGTCTCAAGCATAGTGCGAAAAAGAATGCCTTGACTTATTTATAGGAAGGGCGCAGAACTTGAAATGACCTAAAAGTCATCATTTCAAAATACCTCGATGTTCGAAAAATGTCACACCACATCATATCAATAGGAAATAAAATTTTTCATTAAAAATACATACATAAAGCTATTCGTAAAATTTTACGAAGGAATCTTGGGCCACTTCAGTCGAGACATATTCTCGGCGAAGCAACCACTTAAGTAATTACTCTCCTTATTTAAAATGATTCCCTAGATCAATATTTTGTTGTGTTCAATTGACTGGCTTCTCATTACGAAGAAAATTCCTTCCTCCTTCAATCCTTTCATCACGAGTTCGCAAATTTCATACGATTTCACTATTCGATCCTTGGACTACTTGCTCAAAGGAATCCACCATTTCATTCACTCTGCTCTCCAACGACCCGAAGACTGTTGTTTGCCACCATTCATCCCGTGGGAGGTGGTAAAAAGGTCGGCTAATCGATCAACAACTTCATCGATTGGCTATTGATTCCCATCGATCGGGTTTTGAAGATCAGTCATCGAGATTGAAGCGGGATCAACAACAACATCGGTTGATCGAATATTCTCATTGGTCAAAACCTCAACATCTGAACCTATATCAAAGTACGATGAAGAAGGGAGAAATTTAGATCAAAAGCAACTAGAGTCGATCATACCTAGCAACCTACCCAATTCAGAGGAAGTTATGGGTAAACCAATGAAGGGAACATTTTTTTTCTGTACTTTAGGCGGAGGTGGAATGTTGGTGATTATTGTTGTACCGAGTTGTTTCAGAGAACCAGTTGCGTCCAGGATGATTGGATCAACCCGACGAACCTCTTCCTCAACGATCGGACCCAGGGGAGAAGCCGGAGTTTCTTGACAACTTTTCTCACTGTTGAGATTTTTTTGTGGACGACAAATATCAATACTGGTTGAAGAAGCAACTTGGTCATTTAAATCAAATACATGTTCCTTTCATTTCTTATTCTTTATAACTCATTTTTCTTTTCGTCTTTTCACTCGCAAAACATTATGGAGTTCTCACATCAAACATAATGACGCATGTGATTCCAAATCTAAGGGAGAAGGAAATGCTCTATTTATCCAAATTTTTGGTGCTAAAAAAACTAGGAAGAAATATTGTGTTGAAGTTACGATTTAATGAAATTTATTACTTTAATGATTTTCTTTTTCTTATTGTAGTTTTTGCTATCAAGAAGTAAGAAAATCAAAAAACTAATATGTATACAAAAAAATATCTGCACTAATATCAGAGGGATCAAGCAGTTCAATGGAGCACTCCTGCCGTCGATCGGAATTCCAAGCGAAGGGCCGTAAAGCAAATCCAATTGTATGAAATGACTGGCTGATTTGCACATCAGCTCAGTCGACCTTTAGATTAATAAGTTTGAACATTCAACATAACCCAACCTACCTACAGAATTAACTAAGGCTTTGGCGACCGTCAACTAAGAGTGAAAGTTAGATATGTTAACTACTAGGTATAAGACTCAATAGTCACAAATATTCATGATAGTCGCATCTGATTAGCTTATGTGCTAGAGAGGTGGTTAGATGAACTGCTCACTTATAATGAAAAAGACCCGATACACCCTTTAACTAGTAAGGAAGTGAGGGTAATAGTGTCACTATAAATTTAAGCCACCTATGATTATAAATGGGGATCATTTTATGAATAAAGAGTAACACACTCATTTTCTTAAGCCTACACAGCCTTTTTGTCTCTATCTCTTTCCC